ATGTTAATACAAGAAAGGACAAGTGAGAATCAAATGAATGGGTATCATTTACTGTGTGCTTACTATGATGTGATGGCTAATTTTATGTGTAAATGTGGCTAAGTTTTGGTGTCTCTTTGGTCAAACACTATTCCTGTTGTGAATGTAATTAAAAGGTATGAGTAGCATTTATAATCAGTTCACTTTAACTAAGGAATAATATAGTTTGTCCTTTCTAATCAGTTGAAAACCTTAACTGCAAAAACAGTCTTCCTGAAGGAGGAGTTCTGCCTCAGTTCTGCAGCTCAAGACTGTGATACTAAATCTTATCAGAGTTTCCAGCTGACCAGACTGCTGCCATAATTGCAAGAGTCAATTTTCCTATCTCTCTCTCTGAATAGACGTACACATACATATGATACATACACATATATACATATGATACATACACATATATACATATATACATGATTAATACTGTTTTCTGGAAATCAGCTTGTGCATATGACCTATCTCATTTAAACTGAGAATAGCTATGATTTTCTTTCATTTTTAAAACCAGCAAGCTTAAAGCTTTCAACTTTCCATAAGTCACAAAATAAAAAACAGAGAATCTGAGGTTGAACTGTTTTTTTTTCCTAATTCTAGATAGAGTGTTTTAGTCAGTGAAATGTTTCTTTCCTTCTTATGCTCAAATTTCATTTGATTTTCAAATCCTTCAATTCTTATGGTAGAATTATAGGTAAGTATAATTAATTTTTATATATGAATTTGTGTGTGTGAGTCACTCAGTCGTGTCCGACTCTGTAACCCCATGGACTGCCCCTCTGTCCTAGGGATTTTCCAGGCAAGAGTACTGGAGTGGGTTGCCATTTCCTTCTCCAGTATATGAATTTAGGTGAATTCATATAATTATAGAACTCTATGAATTTTCAAAATGTTTTACAATGAGTGACTTTAACTTTTATATAATGAAGCTATTTTGAAAAGAAAAAGGCTATACCTTCTTAAACCAGAATTCTTTTCAAATGAATGACTAATATAACTTTTCTGTTTCAGGATCCATTATTTCTTTCTATAATACATTTGCTACAACTAAAGTAATCTACTCACTGCCTTTTCTAAATAATACATTGTGTCAGATTCTTTCCCCATGTAGCTGGGCCCATCCAAGTTGTTTTCCCCTACACTTAGTGCTACTAAAAAATTTCACATCCTTTAAATTCTAATTAAGACTTTCTTTACCTATAAGTTATGCCTAAACTCTTACCTTTCTTCTCTATAGCCAGGGATTTAATTTACAGCAAATAAAATTAGAAACTGAGAATTAAAGATGAAGAATGAGTTGTCCTTAGTTTATAAACACTGTAAGACTCATTTAAATTAATTGCAATGGCTCATCTCTGATAAATCATATTGAAGAGTTTGCTGATGGCTTCAAATATTGACAAAGCCTGTCATTCACATGAAATGGACCATTAGCCATTTGTAGAGATAACTCTTTAATTATAATACACTGAATTTATGTTTACTTGCACAAAACATAACCTCAATAAGAGTGGAATTTATCACAAACTTTCCCAAATGACTTTGTAAAATGCCATTACACAGAACTTAACCTCATTTCTTCACAAATTTAGTGACATCAAAAGTCCTAAAGAAGTTAAAATTCAAGTGACAAAGTTTTTTTTGTTTATCTTTTAGAAACAATAAAATCTAACACCTCTAAAATCCTATATGCTTCTTTTCAAAATACTTCATATAAATACATTAAATATGATAGCATTATTAGTAAAGCACTGCTATTGTCAGCACTTTACCAATAAGGAGACTAAGGCATATGGAGATTAAGTAATATTCTCAAAGATAGTAATGTATAAGGATTCAATCACTTGCAAAATGACTCCCTTGAGAAGATCTATGATTTTCATAAACTTTTAGTACTTTTATGATTCTTTCAAATATGCTAAAGAATAATTAATCAATAACAAATATGAATCATTAAAGAAAATGCATGCACTAATACTACTTCATTGAGAGTATGAAACTGCTATTTTGTCATAAACTTTGGCACCGAATTTTTCTCCTCTCAGACTTGGAGAACAAGAGTCATTTATAGATGTTTCCTAAGGCCTCTCTGGAGCCACAAACATGAGGTTCTCTTGGGTTTCTGTGTTTGGACATTTTGTGTGTTTAGAATCTGCCTCTGCCCTGCGAACCAGCTCTCTAATTGTCAGCAGCAGAGGAAAGTGAGTAGGACTTCAGTGACTGCCCACTTCACCACTGCCCATGAACACATTGATTCTTGACTTCTCTGAATCAGACTTGCATCTTTATATCTAGCATATTCTGTGTACCTTCTGCTGCCAGCTTTCAGGAATATCATAATGGAATGGATCTAGAGACAGTCCTACATAGGAATATAAATACACTGTTTTAAATGTCTCTGAAATAGACACATGATAAAGACAAACATACTGCTTATAATCTATGGTATTAGAATTGTCAGGTAGTTAGAGTAGAAAAAAATAAAGAGTCCAAGATGGCAGAAAAACGCAGGTTGGGGTGCCCACAAAAGAGGAAGTCGAGGACCTGAGTGAGAACCTCTGGTCCTGGGCATAAATAATCAGGTGAATACTTGAACCACCGCCTATTTTCTCATAGGATATAACCCACCAGGCTCCACAGGGAGGAGACAGAAATGATAAAAAGGGAAGCCAAGAGGAATCAGGACCGCTTCAGGGGTTGACTTGCACCTGCATCTTGGAAGCCACTGCCCTTTGCCCCGGCCTGCTTCCCAGGTGAGCTGTAACTGAGCTGTAACTATAACTCGTTTGTTGCTATGAATATGGTCTTCTGCCTTCTGTTTCATTGTTAAGAAGATTTGGAATGACAGGCCACTTCTAGCTCAAACAGGCAGGATGTTATTAAACACTACTTGGTGTCTGAGGATCCTGTGATCAGACATCCATACATGACCTCTCCCACTCAGGACTTGTTTCACTTGGTGTCTAATAAAAATAGTTTGCCCCCAAGTTTCAAGGCATCTTTTTTCAAGTTTGCAATGACTGCAAGGTTTTGAAGGCAGGGAGACCAGCCTCAGGTGGTGGGTGGAGTCTCTTGGACAAGTATGCCACTGACTGGGGTTCAGGTCCCAACCTTTAAGTTAACATCCCCAAGTCTATGCCTTCCTTCTTGTGGACATATAGATGGAATGCTTTCTCTAAGTTTGGCAACCTCAAAGCAGGTGCCTGGATTAAGGCCTGTTTTAGTATAGCCTCTGCCTTCTGTTGAGGAGGTCCCCATGTCAATGGGATTACTTGACAGAATCACAGCAGTATTTTTTTTCATTTTTAAATTACTACTTGTTGTCTTTAAAATAATTTAATCAACCATTTAGAGTGTATATGACAGTGAATACACTGTTACCTAGGATTTCTTTATAAAATACAACCATAAAGATGCTTAAGCAGCTTCAAGTCTAACATCCGGCAACTTTGCACATATTTCTCTCATTGTTATTGACAAACTTTTGTTTTAAAAAGTCTTAAAAACTTAATCATGTATTAAGATAGACTTAATAGGCACACATAAAGCATTATATTTCCCACATGGAAAATATCTGTAAAAGTTTATGTTAAGCCATTAATCAACTCTTATTATTTTCAGTCAGTATTACAGAGATCTGCTTTTGAACTTTAGAAATCAATTTCAAATCCAAGTTCATAGTTTTTTAAATTCAAAAACAAACATCAAAATAATCTATCAGAAGTAAGAACATGTGATCCATTTTCTACATACTCAAACCAAATTAGTATAAAAATATCACTATCAAACTTGAATGAATATTAAGCCAAATTTAGAGAAAATTCTAGTCTTCAGTTATTTATTACAAAAGAAAAAGGAAACACTAACATTATACTAGGAAGGACAAAATCAATTCAATATTTGGCTTTTTGACAAGACAAATGTGAAATTTATAAATATCAATCAAAGCTGACCATAAAAAAAGAGAGGACAGAACCTACAAATAATATTAGAAAACATGAAAAAAATAAATACAGAAACAAATGTAAAGATTAAAAAACCAGAGAAGTTAAATGTATTATGATAAAAATTTGAAAATTTAGGTGAAATGAAATTTTATAAATGCATAGATTACCAAAACCTTAATCTTATAGTCATAATAGAATAATTTTTTAAAAATCTTTCCACAGAAAAAGAAACTATCACACCATAACTATACACATCTGTAGGTTAGCTAGTGCAAAAAGATTTTAATAAAATAAAAAGTATAGAAATTGGAATGAAGAAGCAATAATGTCATTATGACAGCCTGGAAAAACTAGGTATTGGTGAGGATATGGAACAAAGGTAATTCTCACATAGTTGCTAGTAGGCATATAAACACACACAAAATTTTAGAAATCAGTTTGGCCACATGTAGTACTTTTGAGCATGCTCAAGCCGTGCAAACAAGCAATAACACTTCCTGAGCAGTCTGCCCTTAAAGTCTATATCCAGGCCTGCATGAGACACACACAAGAATATTGTGAAGCTCAAACTGCTTTTACATCAATCATTCTCTTTTTGAGCTTGTGACAATTTCAAAATTATTTCAAATTATGATGATGAAAAAACCTTCTCTTAAGAGAACACTGTCAACTGTCAACTTCTATCTTAAATTTTTGCTCTGAACAATGCTTTAAGAATAAATAAAACAATATGCAACTGGAATTTTGCAGAACTGGCCTTCATATTCTTGGATCTCTTCTGGGTTTCATTATCAACTAGCCATTTAATCGCATATTACTCTATAGATGTTTATTTTTTAATTAATTGACAACATAATATTGGTACTGTTTGATATATTCTTAAATTGGAGTATTAGATAAAATATATTAAAGTAAATGGAAAACATCCATATAATAGGACAACTTTTACGAGACAGTGGCTTCTGTAAGCGTTTTCCGTAGGGCCCTGGCCGACAGTGTTTGGTGCCCGTCAATGCCTGTACTCACCAGCTGCTGCCCTTGGACTCCCCAGGCCGCGTACTGCAGGACAGAGTCCTCTACTTCTGGAGGATTTAACTCCCAAACTTCCCTTGAAAAAAGGTAAATATTTTTATATGAACAAATTGACACCTGCACCTACAGTTCAGTTGGACAGTTGCTCATGGAAACCAGATGATCAAATAACTTACCTAGTGTGTATATTGTAGATCACATACGAAGCAGTATACGAATAATGAAAAATCTGAAACAAAAAGAATAGTTATAGTTTGGAGTAAAGGCTCTATTTTAATGAGTATGGATATGTTTTTGACTAAATTCTGGAAATGCAAAATTGGTTTTAGAGAGAATTCAAAATGCGATTCTTCATTATCTATAAAATAAAGTTCAAACTTTATTCCAGTTTGAATATCGAAACACTGATACTCCAGGGTTTTGGTATTTGTGTTCTCCATGGTTTTTCACTCTTACCATCCACTACTTCTCTTCACCTGGCCTACACTTTACTATATTAGATAAATTCCTTCTGTATATCCTGAATGTCTCTCTTTTTTTCTAATTTAATTTTTTTTTAGGATATCCTAACTTCACTCAGATGAAAAATTTTCCTCCTTCCATTACAGCCTATCTATCTAGAGAATTTCTCTCTCTCAAAGTTTATTTTTGACTCAGGACATTTCACATTTCACAAATTAGATAAGATTTTAAGTGCTTGTTCCCCTTTCCCACTGGAATCAGGCCCAGGTGTGTATTACCTTGGCATCCTCCACATTACCTTATACCGTATCAAGTTTGCCTGCAACATGCAACCAATATTTGTTGAATAGTGATTCTGATGGGGAAAAATCCCTTGCAAATGGAAGTGCTTATGGAGACAAAATGGGATAATACCCCAAGCACTTCATAGAAATATCTGAAAATTATGTTAAATAATTGGTTGCAAGTATGTATCTTCAAGAGACTTCTTATATCATCTTATAAGAGCCCTGTTTCTTTCTAAAGGGCATCCTCCAAAGGATCACAGCTTCCATGCTGAGGTGACATTAAGGACCATTGTGAATGATGCAAAGATATTCCTAAATTTTGCTTCTTACTGATTAAAGATGATGAAATAATAGAATACAGAGAAAATGAGGAAAATTGTAAAAGATAGGTTAGGGAGAGAGATTATAAGTATGTGACATTTTAATGAAATTATATTTTTCTGAGCTATATGGATCTAGTGAAGAAACTCTTTTCCACTTAACTATATTGTTATATTATTATTTACAGGATTCATAGAGCTTATATTGATACTTTCATTTTTCAGCATGTAATTATAAAAACTTCTCTTATCCTACAGTCTACATACATTGCACAAATATAATACTGTAAATTAAAAACCCTTAGAAGTCAAATTATTATTTATTCAATTAAACATGACTGGCCACATATTTGGTAAATAAATACTAGTGTTCATTCTGTGCATTAAAATTACAATCCTCCCACCATTTGTTATATTATTGTGCTTCATAATGAAGTGTTTCCTCCATTTCTTTTGGAGTAACTATTAAATCTGAGATCACCTTTACTATACAGTCATAGAAGTGAAAAATATTTTTCCTGGTGTCTATTTTGGCATTCATATTGTGATCTATAAAATTCCATATTTGACTACAAATTTTAAATCTTGAATTTACTACTATAGCTGACAAAGAGGTGAGAACTGTGACCATTTCTCCATTTTGTTTTCCCATCTCAGAAAGTTCTGTTGCCAGAGTAAACTGCCAAGTTATTAAGTGGTCTTCAAATCAGACAAGTGATTCAATGATGTTATGGATAGAAACAAACTATTCATTCGATCTGTTAATCTGCCTAACACACTCTCCTATGAATTCTAGGTTCATATCTCTCTTGACAAAGAGTTCCTGTTCACTACTGTTTTAGTCAAAGCAAGCCAAAATAATCACTGGCACAAAACTGGATGAATATAACCATTGAATGTTCATCTCTTTCCATCATATTTATATGATGTAGAGCTATAAAGGTTACAGACTCTTCTCAGTTTATGAATCCTAAGAACTTAGATGTCTTTCCAATGATGGGGTTTAGAGAGAAAAATATATAAATTCACCTTCTGCTTTGTAGTTCTTAGCCTGATACAGCATTTGTTTCTCCCAGCTGGTATGCTGAGATGGAAGATCACAATAAAGAATTTAACCCTTGCAGATGCAGAGAACTAACTAGCATTTGCCAGAAGAAGGAGGATCAGAGGATGAAGAAAACAGGTAAAAGGGATTAAAAGGTACAAGCAACAAGTTACAAAATAAAGAAGTCACAAGATGTAATGTATACCACAGAGAATATAGTTAATAATATTGTATATGCATAAACTATAAAAATATTGAATCACTATGTTGTACACTTGAAAGTGAAAGTCACTCAGTTGTGTCTGACTCTTTACATCCACATGGATTATACAGTCCCTGGAATTCTCCAGGCCAAAATACTGGAGTGGTAGCCTTTTCCCTCTCCAGGGATCTTCCCAACCCAGGGATCGAACCCAGGTCTCCCACATCGCAGGTGGATTCTTCATCAGCTGAGCCACAAGGGAAGCCCTGCACACCTGAGGCTAATATAATATTGCAAGTGAACTATACTTTATTTTAAAAGAAAGTTAGCCCTACCCAACCTGCAAACACAGAGCAAACATATCATAGAGATTGAGCCTCAACTATAGGGTCCCTACAAAGCCAATAGTTTGCAGTTTACAGGTAATTAGATCCTAACCCTTTTCGCCTGGCTTAGAACTCTTTCCACTAAATCCACTATCCTTGATGTGTATGTGTATGTGTGTGTGTGTGCATGTACTCACAGAAGATCTCAAATTCTTCTTGTTTTTTGTAATTTTCCATAACTAAATTGCATTATATGTCCACCATAGAATATAAATAATACAAGGTAGGAGACAAACAGGGTTAGAGATAGACATTTCTTCATGTTTGTTGCATAGTGTTGCAGAGATTTTGAAAGGGGGAGTTTTCAAGAAGAAATGAACTTAGTTTTATTGAACATCTACATTAAGGCACATTGGAATAAATTCAGTCTGTGCTAATCTGCATTTCTCTCCTTGAATGGCAGTTCTATTCCTTTTTAAAAAAATTATTTATTTTAATTGGAGGCTAATTACTTTACAATATTGGAATCCGCCATGGGTGCACATGTGTTCCCCATCCTGAACCCCCCTCACACCTCCCTCCCCATCCCATCCCTCAGGGTTGTCCCAGTGCCCCGGCCCTGAGCGCCCTGTCTCATGCATCGAATCTGGACTGGTGATCTATTTCACATATGGTCATATACATGTTTCAATGCTATTCTCTCAAATCATCCCACCCTTGGCTTCTCCCACAGAGTCCAAAAGTCTGTTCTTTACATCTGTGTCTCTATTGCTGTCTCGCATACAGGGTCATCTTACCATCTTTCTAGATTCCATATATATGTGCTAGTATATTGTATTGGTGTTTTTCTTTCTGACTTACATTACTCTGTATAATAGGCTCCAGTTTCATCCACCTCATTAGAACTGATTCAAATTCATTCTTTTTAACAGCTGAGTAATATTCCATTGTGTGTATGTACCACAGTTTTCTTATCCATTCACCTGCCAATGGACATCTAGGTTGCCTCCATGTCCTGGCTATTGTAAACAGTGCTGCGATGAACATTGGGGTACACGTGTCTCTTTCAATTCTAGTTTCCTCGGTGTGTATGCCCAGCAGTGGGATTGCTGGGTCATATGGCAGTTCTATTTCCAGATTTTTCTATTCTTTTTTAACATTCTTCACTTCCTTTTATCATATATATCTCTTCTATATTGGCAAGGTAGGTCTTGTTTTATGATGAGAAGATAAAATTGGAGTCTCTCAGATTAGAAACAGTCTTTTTACTGTAATTATTGGCTGCTGTAAAATGAGGGCCAAATTGAACATCTGCTAAGATCCATGAGGACAAAGAAATTTCATGGTCAAAAATTACATATTCATCTCATCTCTGCAAATGATGTTCCACAGCTTGTTACAGAGTATATGAATAGTTATGGCAAAGGCAGTAGGTGTGGGGCAAAATTGAGATATACTGTATAACAATTTGATCAAATTTATACTCCTGGAAGCTGGAGCTGACATGATATTCAATCTCCTGATACCAAAAGGCACTGGGAGGTGCAGAAAATATCACAGGATCCCACAAACCAATCCGATCCCTACCATCTCTACATTGCTCTAGGAACTTATACAAGATTACTTAATGTTAATCATCATGAATGGTAAAATTGATTACCATTATTTGCTGTTATGATCTATAAGTCACCATGAACATTGAATTAGCAAATACTGAATGATTTCTCCTAGGAGAAGTACAGGATTAGGTACCTAGGAGCCTTTGGTTACATTTTCATCAACCAATCAATACATTTTTTTTCATGTGCTTCTTAACTTGAAAAAGCTGCATCTAACACTAAATATTGTTCATTCCTTAGCACTGAGCTCATGGCCAATGTTATAACTCATGTCTGAATGAAGCTTACCTAACTCATGATCAGTTCAGTTCAGCCACTCAGTCGTGTTTGACTCTGCGACCCCACGGAATGCAGCATGCCAGGCCTCCCTGTCCACCACCAATTCCCGAAGTTTACCCAAACTCATCTCCATTGAGAAGGTGATGCCATCCAACAATTCCATCTCATCCTCTGTCGTCCCCTTCTCCTCCCACCTGCAATCTTTCCCGGCATCAGGATATTTTCCAATGAGTCAGTTCTTTGCATCAGGTATCCAAAGTATTGGAGTTTCAGCTTCAATATCAGTCCTTCCAATGAACACCCAGGACTGATCTCCTTTAGGATGGACTGGTTGGATCTCCTTGCAGTCCACTGCATACAGATTTCTCAAGAGGCAGGTCAGGTGGTCTGGTATTCCCATCTCTTTCAGAATTTTTCACAGTTTATTGTGATCCACACAGTCAAAGGCTTTGCCATAGTCAATAAATCAGAAATAGATGTTTTTCTGGAACTCTCTTGCTTTTTCGATGATCCAGCAGATGTTGGCAATTTGATCTCTGTTCCCTCTGCCTTTTCTAAAACCAGCTTGAACATCTGGAAATTCATGGTTCATGTATTTTTGAAGCCTGGCTTGGAGAATTTTGAGTATTACTTTACTAGTGTGTGAGATGAGTGCAATTGTGCAGTTGTTTGAACATTCTTTGGCATTG